TATTTCTACCTGTATATTTACCTTGCCTGTGGATCTATTGACGGATATGGTGGAGAATATGGGGGTTGTGTGTGGACATGCAAAATTCTGAAAACTTCTTAGATGTAACGAAACACCTTGGGGGAATGAGTCGCTGGGCCTGGGGACTCAGGACCATGGTTTCTGGGGACATCAAAATCAATTGTCATCAACATAGATTACAAAAATGTTTTATAGGTTACTTTGGTGAGTAGTGACGGGGGTCTTAAAATCTTGTGAGTAGCCATGTGAAGTGCAACTGTTGATCTCTCCCTGCCTGGAGGAAAGAAGAGTGAAGAAAATTGGAGATGCATGGAAACAATTTGTTCAATGGTCTTGAGCATCAGCCCCTGCAACCCTGAGACCAGAAGAAGTAGATGGTCCCTGGAAACCACTACCAATTGCTCTAAAAGGGATCCCATTAAGAGGTCCAGGATACCCAATGCAAGAGCAGTTAGTTCTGATCACATGGCCCTGCTCAATATTCACTTTCATGAAAGGAGCACTGACGAGAAGGTTGTGCTACAGCAAGGTGTGGTGGTGAAAGTAGATGGTGCTCAGCTATCAATCAGAATAGTGTCTGGGGTCTTAAAGGTTTGTATTCAAACAAGCAGCCATCTAATTGAGGAGCCACCTCAGTCACATGGAAGAAGCACACCAGATTGTGTGACCCAATGACGACAATAACACAATTCAAATAAGATGAAGGGAAAAGTATCAGAGCCCAACTTGCTAACACCCAATATGTGGAAGGCTGTGGGAGGACAGTGGGAGCCCAAAACCCATCTGCAGAGTATCTAGGCAGATTAAGCCGCTGGCAGATCCCCTCTAGCCACAGCCAAGGGTCTCAAATGGCTTTCCTATCAGATAGAGATCATTGTAATTGTGATTATACGGGATCAAACTGGATACTTGGTCGGGTGACCTCCCTCTTGACCCAATCTGAAATTTTTCTAGGTGCAAGTATTTCTTGCTTGTTCCATGACAACAACAACAAAAAAATCTTCCCTGGCCTTTTAAGTATTGATGGTGGTCTTTTCTTTCTTACTTGTTATTTGTATTTTTATCTTTGTATTATTATTTTATCCTTGCCACTTTATTTTGTTTCTGTTGGGTGTACCAGTTTGTGAAGCTCAGAAGGAGTACATGCATAGATATAAGAACAGATGCAAGGGTTTAGAGGGGAGGTTGAGGTGGGGGGTCAGAGATAGGGAGGGTGCGGGGTGTTGGGGGAGCCAACAATTGTATGTGGGAGTGGGGAGGGAGGCATCAACTGATAGTGATTACACAAATCATTTAAAAAGGGATTTACCCATGGGAGGAGGGGATGGGGGAAAGACTGTTCTAAAGTTGATTGTGGCAATGATTGTACAGCTCTTCTTGATATGATTGAGCTATTCAATTGTGTTATATGTGGATGAAATGCCAATAAAACTGTTAAAATGAAAGGCGGGGAAAGAGGTCTAGGATAGAGTGGGAGACAGACATGTACCAAAACACAAAGTCATCAAAAGTGTCTGGTAGTGACTAGGGGAACCCCTGCCACTGGCCCTGAGTCACTCTTAGGTCTGGAAATGAATTCATCCCCGGGCTTAATTCATCCCCTCAGCCAAACGAGAGAGAGGTCTATAAGGGGAACAGTAACCTGGGGGCAGCACACACCCGTACAATCACCACCCGTCTGAGATCACAAGGGTAGCATTTACCCAAGGGCAAAGGTCAGAAGGGGTGGAAGAGGAGGAGCCATGCAGATGGGGCACACACGGGGGAATCGGGAGAAGAAGTGATGCTACCTTGGGGGATTACCATCTATGGCATGAAACAAATGGTGTGCAGCTTGTTGAATGGAAAACGGACCCCGGGAAACCTTCACCTCATTCACAATAACACAGGAAACAAGGGAGAGAAGTGGGTTGGGAAAATGGTGCAAGGGGGGAAATAAGTCTACATACTCTGTCCTTCTCTTAAGAGTCTCTGTTTAAATAAGAGTTGCTTCAAAAGACATTCAGCCCAGGACATTAACTCAGTCTCTGGTCCTTGTTGTTACCTTTGCTTCAGTGGCAGATCCAGGAGTCGTCCCAGAAGAGCAAAGAGTTGCACAGGTTCCTGGCGCCTTCCACTGCCCAGGTCTTGATAACTGACTTCCAACACGGGTCTGAGCTCTTCACTGAGCTCCAGCTCTCTGAGATGAAGAAAATATTTGAGGAGGATGCCGATACAAGTGGAGGTACAGCTAGGCTGCAGCCTTGGTCTCTCTGATTTCTGCACAGGGAGGTGGGTAGAGAATGCAGATATGACGAGCAATTCAAACTCCCTGCCAACTTGTATGGACCCTATAGGCAGGATTGAACTGCCCCGGTGAGTTTCCAAGACAGTGAGTCTTTTTTGTTTTGTTTTCCAGCCCCGCACCCCTGACAGTGAGTCTTTACAGGAATAGACAGCCCCGTCTTTCTCCATTTGACAAGCCAAGTGTCTCCTCACAGCACTATTGTAACCATATTGGAGGCTATTTGGAATGTGGAAAAGCAAAAGATCCCAATGTAGCCATAGTCCCCCTGCCCCCCCCCCACAAATTCCCTCTAGCTCTGGCTTCTTACCTATTGTTGTGTAAGGGCATTTCCACAGGTTTTGTGGCTCAAAACAACACCTCTCATGGTTTCGAGGGGTCAGGAGGCCAGGCATGGCTTTGCCTGGGCCTCTGCTCGGGGTCTCCTCTGGCGTCCATCAGGGTGGCAGCCAGGGCTGGGGTATGGCAGTCTCAGAGTGTCCAGGCTCACGCACGTTGGTGGCCGAACTCCTCCCTCGCAGGGTCTTGTGGCTCCCGTGGGGCCTCCTCCCCCTTCTCCTCCTGGTCATTCCCTCCAGCTTCTCCTCAGATGCCAGCCACTCGCCCACCCACATACCCTACCTCCTTCCCAGCCCCCAAGTCCGGAGCTCCCTTCCCACCCTGGGGGAACTGTTAGTTTATCTCGTAGTGTAAGTTGAATGAACTCGGGCTTGGGAGCTGGTGAGCGGAGGCCCAACTCAGCCCTCACAGAGCACGTGTGCTTCCCGGGCATCGGCTTCCCATTCTTTCAAAGGAAGATTCTGTTAAAGTGATTCTAAGAAGAAATATGCTCGCCTGGCCGTGAGCAAGGCAGAGCGTTCTGGAACCGCCTGCCTGTGAAAGGCCTCCGTTCATGGGGCAGCCCAAGGGGAGCTTGTTCCTGAAGCACTGCGCCCAGGCCGTGCGCCCACCCCCTCGCGCCCGGGGCTGGGGGCTGGGGCAGCCGTGTGCGGTCAATTGACTCCTGGTGAATGAAGGCCTGGGCCCTCTGATGGCACCGCAGGACCATTAAGCGCCACTCGAAACGCAGAAGCCTTTTGCCTATAGCTTCCGATGGACCCTGTTCAAGCAAGGCGTGCTTGCTTCAGGCTTTTCTTGGCCGGTAAATAACCTGCAGGGCCACTGCAGCGCTGGGCTGGTGTTTCCCGGAGGAGAAGGGCAGAGTCGGGTTGAAAAATCAGGGGCTCTGGGGCCGGGCTGCCTGGGTCAGCCTCTGGCGCCCCACCGCTGATGAGCCGCGTGACGGTGGCCAAGTGGCCGCGTCTCTCTGTGTCACCATTTCCTGCGTGAGTTCCTTGTTGGGCGGCAGGCGTTCCCGAGTGTGAGACACAGAGAACTGTGGCTCTGCCGGCAGTGCCCGTCCCTGTCATGTCCTGGGGCCCAGAGAAACACTCCGGGGGACACACATTCGCTGAGGGACAGGGGCCCAGCGGTAGATAAAGCACACTCAGCCCTGCGCTCTCAGAGGTCACCATCGAGGGTGGGAGACGGACAGACAGACTTGTGGTGTCAGGAAGAGCAGTGAGGACGGGTGGTGGGTGGGGTGGCCCCTTCTGGTAGGTTCCTGGGGAGGTTCTCCTGAGGAGGGAGGGGCAGGGGTGTCCTGATGTCTGTGGGAGGGTCACCCAGACAGGCCCAGGTGTGGGTTTGAGAAACATGGAGGGCATCTTGCTGGCTGGATGGTGGTGGCAGGTGAGCGCTGAGAGGCTCATGCTTGACCTTCAAGCCACAGTGAGTCTCCCAAACGTTTAGAAGCCCTTGAGAAGCAAGTGAGCAAACAAACAAACAAACAAACAAACAAACAAACAAACAAGAATAGTGCTAGAGAAGCCCCATTAGAGAGGGGCTCTTGGCCCACTCACAGAGAGAGCCCCTGGGGGCCATGATGCCCAGCCCGAGAAGAACACTTTCCTCTTGGCACTGCCCTCCCCGCCCCAGCCCCCCTCCAGCCGAAGCCTGCCTTCTGGGAATCGCCTCTGAAAGCAGCTCTTGGCCTGGGCTCTGTCTGCTAGAAATGGCCGCTGTCTTGTGTCCACGGTTCACTCTGGCATTTCCTTCTTTTTCAATTCTAATTTTTGCATTTCCTTCTTTTCTCTGGAGGATTTTCATCCGTTTTTTGTGGGCTCAGTGTCTGGTCTATCTGGTTTGTTCAGAAATGGAATCTGAACTCCTTTGGAGCATCCTCTCCGCCCAGCCCTCACTGCTCTGTGTGTGTGTGTGTGTGTGTGTGTTCCACACAGCGTCCCACTTATGACAGATCGCCATTTATTGCTGCAGTAACAGAAGTACTAACTCAGGGGGAGGGCACACGCGCTCTGTTGGCTCTGGGGGAAGGTCCTCGTCTGCTTTCAATCTCGGTGGGCCTGGTGCTCCTTAGATATCGCCGGCGTCTTCGCACCGGTCTTCCCTGGGTCTAGGAGGCTCTCGACGCAGTGGCCCTGGTTACAAAGGATGGGATTTGGTTCCTTTTTCTCGGCTTGCTTCTTTCTTTTTTGTAAGATAAAAGGCAGTGCAGGCTGTACTCCAGGGAATCCCTTTTTCATTAGATTAGGGATGTCACCTGAGCAAGGGTAATGTCTTCCACCCTACTCCCCTTTACCACGGATTGACCATATTGTGGGGGATGAGCACATGAGCATGGAATGGCCAAACCACTGAGAATCATGGCTCAGCCAAGTGGAGGCGTGTCTGGGTGGGAGGATGGGACACCATTGAATCTGACACAGACGTCAGGTCAGGATTTGCCGGTCAATTGAATGCTGAACTGAGAAGGTGCAGAAGACAACAGCGTGTTGGCTCCTAGCCTCCAGAGTCAGGCCTAGGTGTGGGTGTGGGGGGATGTCCGAGATAAGAAGGCACGGTTGACAGGCCGGAGCGACTACCTTTGAGGGGTCGGGGAGAAGGAAGCCTCCTAAGCTTTTCATGTTTCTGGCCGGAGCCCATCTCCCTTGTCCCCCAGCAGTGACTCCAGCTCCTGGCTTTGGGGTCGGCTGCAAAGAGGCGGGGAATCCTAGGCAAACATGATTCTCTGTGCGGCCCCCTCAGCTCCCCAGCCCCAGCATCACCATTGCCAGCAGTGGGGACAAGCGGTCCGCGAGCAAGTGGACACCGTTCCCTCTCCTCTCTCTCGAAGCCCTGAAGCTCAGTGCTTTCCTGAAGGCCACAGAGAAGGTGCTGAGCGATGTGTCCGGCAAGGTGCTGGAGGCCATATTTCTGAAGGTGGACACAGACTGCAGTGGCTTCATCACCTGGGTGAGCAGGGTGAGGAGGCAGCTGGAGGGTGGCTGGTGGGGCGCCGTGCTGGAGCAAATGGAGGGTTGAAGATGGGGGACAGTTGTCACCTCCCAAAGCCTTGTTGTGGGTTCTGGCATACGCTGTGGCACTTACTGGGAAAGGGAGCCCCTGGTGTCCTGGTGGGGCCCTCCTGCGGGACTAGATTCATCATAGCATTCCCCTCCTGGGATGCAGGGACATGGATGACATGTGACAGGGAGCCCTGCATGAGATCTACTGAGTGTGCAAAGGGCACCAGGGGCCCTCTCTGCTGCCACACCACTCTCCTCCACACCAGTCCCTGGTGCCTTGGCAGGAAGATGAGTGACCATCTCATGGCCCTTTGAGGCCACACAGTTAAGGGGTCATGGGTGGGGGTGGGGGGGTGCACAAATAGCCAACGGGCTTGGCTATTAACCCAAATGGTAGAGGCTTGTGTCTACCCTGAGATGGCTCAGAGGAATGGTCTGGTGTTTCGACTTTCGACAAATCGGACAACGAAAATTCTAGGAGGCCAGTTCTGTCCCGACACACATGGAGTTGCCACAAGACAGGCCCCATTTGATGATGCAGCTGCTTTCCCATAAAGAGCGACACTCTCGGCAACCTACCAGGGGCAGTCCGACCCTGTCCTAAAGGGTCCCTATGAGTCGGCATCCGCTTGAGGGCAGTGGGTTTGAATTTTGTTTCTTTTAGGGGTGACCATGGAAGCCAAGATGTGTCAGCCTACTAAGTAGTAATTACGATCATAATACATGACTAGCATAGCATACTGCTAATGATGTTTTTTAAATTTTATTTTTAAAAGCTTTTTTATTGTGGCTTAGGTGAAGGCTTATATAGGGAAGCATACTTTTACATTCAGCCATTCAACACCTTCTGATTCGTTCCTCAGTGCAGTCCCTCAGTGCACCAGCACTTCATCCCACTCCCTCCAACTTCGCACTCTTTTGTTATTGGATTACATTTTGCCACCAAAACACTTGAAAGTGTGCTTTTGTTTGGTAGGGGGAAGGTGGGGAGAAAGGGGGATCCGATCGCAATGATTGACACATAAGCACACACATACACATACACACACACACACCCCCTTAGGGGAAGGAACAACAAAGACCATGGGAGAAGGGAGACAGCGGTCAGTACAAGATAGGAAAATAATAGTAACACTTCGTAATTCATCAAGGGGTCATGAGAGGGCACGGGGATAAAAGAGGAGCCGATACCAAGGGCTCAAATAGAAAGTAAGTGTTTAGAAAATATGATGGTAGCATTTATACAAATACGCTTGATACAATTTCCTATCGTTTCTGATCGTAAATGTCCCGCAATGAGCAGGTAGCAGTTAAACATGCAGAAAAGCAGAAAACATGGTCAGTTACATTGACGTCGGGACGGTGGCCATGATAACTAGCATTGATGCCGGGCATTGCGCTGGGTCCTCCGTCCCCACTTGATGGATGGAGAAACTGAGGCCCAGAGAAGGCAAACAAACACGCCCCGGGAACAGTCTGGGAGTCTGGCCCCGGAGGCCGTGCATTCATGGCCGCATCCTATGCCTTCTGGCCTGTTTTGCTTTTCCTGTTTCTCTCCCTCTTTGGTGAAGCTTCATTTCGCTCAGAGTTCTGTAGGAAACATCGTTCACCATTTGCTGCATTGACAAGATGGCTCTTTTACATCAAGCCCTCTGCTTCTTGTTAAATGGCTTCATCCAGGGCTTAATGCTTTGGGCCTTGGCCGTGCTTCCCTGAGGCTTGTCAGTGTAACCTGGAGCTGCCCGCCGGCCCTGGGTTATGGATCTGCCCCTGCTGCTCATTCGTACCTGTGGGCCTCGGTCTTATCTGTTAAGTGGGTGAATATAGAGATCCAGGTGAGGTGCTGGATGAGAAAGAGAACCCAAGATGTGTCTGAAGAGGGGGCTGCTTCCACGTGGTCTTGAGGATGGTCGTCAATGGGTCCTTCACGTACCGAGGCTCTGGGAGAGGTCTGTCAGGGCTTCCTGGGCCCCAGAACTTGGGGATCATCTCCCTGAGCCCCTTGAAGGGGCTGGAGGGAGATGGGGAGAGCACTGCAAAAGTCATTGTGCCAGCATCCTCTCTCCTCGCCCTTTCTTCCGGAGGCAGCAGAAGTACATGGACTACTTGGTGCGTGAGTTCCAGGAAAGGGAAGCTATCAGGAAGAAGCAGTATCGACTGCGGTTCTACCTTCCCATGCGGATCATCCCCCTGTAAGGAGACTTCCCTGGGCCTGGGGGCAGGGGTGGGGGGAGAAGAGGGGATAGGTGAATTGGTGCAGCACCACAGTGAGTGCCAGCAGTGCAGGGAGTGCCCCCGGGCAGCCCCACAGTGCCACCCCAGTGTCTGGCACAGCCTGGTGCTCGATAGACGTTCGCTCCTTTCATTCTCTGCACGTCTTCAGGAGCCCTAAGGTAGGGGACCGGTCCCCGTTTAAAGATGAGAAAACAGAGACTCGCCCGGGGTGGCTTCGCCAGACCATCCAGCTAGAATGTGGTGGCATCGGTCTGTGGCCCCCCAGGCCCGGCCCCCTGGTTCACCACCGTGCTCCCTGCACCCCCTGGCCGCCTGTCTGTGAACTGCTGGGAGCTCACGGCTTCACGCACAGGGCCACAGGCAGGCTGGGAACCCTGGCCATGGCTGGACACTGCACCTGGAGTCCAGCCTGTTTGGAGCCCCCCCCC